AAAAAAAAAAAAAAAAAAAAGAAACGTTGTAAATAGGGAAGAACTACCCAAGCTTAGGTAGGTAGGGATAAGCATTTTCAAAAGTTCTCAAGGGATTCCATGAAGAAAATTAAAAAGGCATGGGGCTGGGGCAGAGTTTGGAAGGAAGGCCAGCAAAAGTGAGTAGGAATTGGAAAATCAGTTCTGTATAGTCTATGTTGCTGAGTTTGGACTTTCTATCCTTAAGAGTAAACAGAAAAGAAAAAGAAAAAGGAAGAATTAAAGGCTTAAAATGGGAATAGCATGATAATTTATGATTCTGACCAAATGACTTTTTTTTTTTTTGAGACAGAGTCTTGCTCTCTCACCCAGGCTGGAGTGCAGTGGCACAATCTCAGCTCACTACAACCTCCACCTCCCGTGTTCAAGCAATTCTCCTGCCTCAGCTCCTGAGTAGCTGGAATTATAAGTGCATGCCTCCACGCCCTGCTGATTTTTTATATTTTTAGTAGAGATGGAGTTTCACTCTGTTGTCCAGGCTGGTCTTGAACTCCTGAGTTCAGGCAATCCACCCACCTCAGCCTCCCAAAACGCTAAGATTACAGGCATGAGCTGCCGTGCCCAGTATTGTTTTTGTTTTAAAAATATCACACTGACTACTGAATAGGGAATGAATTGGAGGAAGATAAGGCTGGAGGCAGGAAAACCAGTTAGGCAGTGGTTTAGGTCATTGAGACGATGACCCTGTCTGTAGGAATGGAGAGATGAAATCTGATGTAGAAGTGACTTGATAGTTTGGATTGCTGACAGTAGCGGAGGAGGTGTCAGGGAAAAGCAAGAGTCAAAAATGATGTTTTGGCTCTTGGGTTGGCAGTTGCGGATGGTGGCACCACTAACTGAGACTGGAGACAGATGAAGAGGCACCAAGTGGGAGGGAAAATGAGTTCAGATTGGGACACACCAAGTTTGAAATGCCTGTGGGAAGTCCAAGGGAATGTTCAGGAGACTATTAGAGATACAAGTCTGAAAGTCAGGTGTGAAACTGGCTGTGTAGACATGTGTTTGGGAGGTCATGGAAGTAGATGAGCTCACACAAGGGATATATGCAGAATTAGAGGATGGCTTAGGAGAGACCTCTAAAGAAAACCAACATTTAAGAGGCTGAAAGTGAGAAAGAAAATTGACTCAAGCCTGGTCTGGGACAGAAATTTTTTGTGTGATGTAATTTACAACTCCTTCTGGGAAGCAATTAGCATTCCTGATAAAGTGCGTGAACAGTTTTCTGACAGACTTTAATAAGACTGAGAACTCCTTCTGGGAAGCTAGGGTTACCCACCCAGCTGATTGACTAGCCTAATAATCTTTAACCAGATGTTCTTTTTTGTATCCATTCTAAACATGGTTAAGAAACCATTCTTCTTTTTTTTCTTATAAAATATCCCAACCAAAATTACTCCTTCAGTTGGATTTTTCAAAAAGCCTCTTCTCATGTGCTCAAAACCAATTTGTCAGAAACACTGCTTTAACGAAAGAGAAAAAGAAATCTGCAAGGAAATGAGCAGAAGCCAGAGAGGTAGGAGAAAAATCAGAAGAATGTTGGTGTTATAGAAGCCAGGTGAAAATAAGAAAACAGGGCATGAATGAACAACAGTGTGAAATGGTGGTGAGAGGTCAAATAAAACAAGGATGAGAAATTGCCATGGGGTTTAGCAATTCGAACGTTGATGGCAATCTTGGCAAAAGCTGGGTGGGGTGATGGAGAGCATAAGTCAGAGTTCAGTACATTCAAGTGTGAGTGTAGACCACTGTTTTAAAAAGTGTGGCTATAGGGCTGGATGCGTTGGCTCACTCCTGTAATCTCAGCACTTCGGGAGCCTGAGGCATGAGGATCACAAGATCAGGAGATCAAGACCATCCTGGCCAACATGGTGAAACCCTACCTTTACTAAAAATACACAAATTGGCTGGGCATAGTGGCGCGCGCTTGTAATCCCAGCTACTAGGAAGGCTGAAGCAGAAGAGTGCTTGAACCTGAGAGGTGGAGGTTGCAGTGAGCCGAGATTAAGCCACTGTACTCCAGCCTGGCGACAGTGAGACTCTGTCTCAAAAAAAAAAAAAAAAAGTGTGGCAGTAAAGGGGGCTTTTTTAGTGGGAAACGTAAGTATATTTAAATGTGTTTGAGAAGGAGTGAGTAGGAAAAGAAGAAGGGACCTGAGAGAGAAGGGCTAATCTTGAGTTTGAGACCAGTATCTTGAGTTAGGGTATCTACAAGACTTGGGAGGGGAATCTGAGCACAAGTGGAGAGAAGGCCATCTTCCCACAGGAAAGAAGAGCAAGGACGGGCCTGTAAGGAAGACTGTCTGCAAGTTTGCTGCTGGGAGACTGAAGGCATTCTTGTCCATTGGTTTGTTACCTCCGTGATACTGATGTAAGTTAGGATCTCTAGTGAAAGTGCTGAGGCAGGTGGCAGGAGAATGGCAGACTGAACTGAGCAGGAAAATACAGTGATTTCAGGGCATTTTGGAGGTGGGGGATAATGAGTCTATTCTGGAACCAATCAGCACAGGTCTATGACTTTCTCCAGTAGCTTAGAAGTCCAAATTCAGGCATGAAGAAGGCTAATACGTTTGAATTATTCTAGGACTGTCTTCAAGGAAACCATTGCAGCTTTGCAACTTCCTTGCCCATTCCTTAGATACTTCTTTTCAGTTTCTAGCCTAGGCTCTGTTTTCTTCTCATTTGATAAAAATGTCCAATTGATCTCATCCACTCTAGTGGCCTCAGTTAATCTCTCTATGCTGACTCCTCCTAATCCAATATTTGCAACCCAGCCTTTCTCTCCAGTACCAGACTTCTGGATCCCATCTGCCTTCTGGGGCATCTTCAATTGGGTGTCTCCTGGGCATCTCAAATTGAACATCTTATTCCCATTGTCTCTGAGAATGAATGTAAGCACTAGAAAGATAGGGGTTTATTTGTCTCTACCATTATAGATCCTGAACTCAGTGCTCAATAAAGAACTGTTGAATAAAAATAGAAATCCACTCGGTTCTCTCAGCCACAAACTTGGGAGTCATCTTTTACTCTAACATCATCTCTGACATCTAATCCATCAAGTCTTATCTACATTTAAGTACGCCTCATGGAAGAAACATACACACTCGCCCTGACACACACACACACACACACACACACACACACACACACACACACAAAAGTGAATTTTCAAGCAGTTTTAACACAGAAACTTAGCTGCTTTACTCCCCCCCCTTTTTTTTTTCAATATTAACATTAGAACTAAACCAGTGGGAGAGCACCTCCCTCCCGGCTTTCTCTCCCCACTCTCCACCAAGCTAGCTCTGCTGTAGAGATAAACGAACCCGTTTTTCATTTGCTAATGATTTGGGCTCAGGTTATAATGGACCATTAAGGTGTATTGTGGAAGAAAGCTGGGAAAATGAAGCTTTCCGGTAGAGGGATAAAGAAACTATGGGGTGGCGACCCCAGGACGCTAGGGAGGCCTGGGATCTGATCCAGGCTTTGTGGAAGAAGGGGGGTTGGAGCAGGACTCCTGTGAGGGGCCTGAGTCCTTCCCAGGCATGGTCCAGGAAGCCTCCTCTGCTCAGCCGTGCTGCTTGAGCCTCGGCTCTGGGTGCTGGGAGGGGACTTAGATCCCTCTGTATCAGGGCTTCCATCTACTCACTGCCCAT